ATGGATCTAGACCCCGGAGAGTTCCCCCCCACCCTCAAAAGCAACTCAGAAAGTTCATGTTGTGTGCCCACACGCATATATTTGCGTGCTCACGTGCGTACATAGTTCTAGGGTATCATTGAGTAGAACAAGTTTCTTAAAACCACCAAACTTCTCTGTTCTTGCGCCTGTCTCATACCAAGAGTTATTTCTTTTTACTATTTCTTTTTCCAGAACCTCTTCAGAAGGAAGTGGAGAGCATGGCGTTTCTAGAAGTGGTATCAAAACTCCGCAGCCACGAGAACAAAACTGTGGCCCAGCAGGCGTCGCTAACAGAGCAGAGACTTGCTGTAGAAAGCTGAGAAAGGTCTCGTGTTCACAGCATCCCATCACAGAGTTCACCTTTGTCCTCCATCCTGCTGCCGCTCCTGCTGTGTTTTCCACTGTATCACTTGTGCATGCGTGTAATGTTCCCACAGAAATTGATGAACTGCTGTAGGTACCCGTCCAAAAAGATTTCTAAAAATCCATAGGTGATGTTCACATGAACCTGTCAGAAACCAGTCTCCACCCATAACTGTTCTACTTGTATTCTTGTTGCTTGGGCCACATAGTAGAATGTGCATGTTATAGTCCTATGATGATGTAAAAGTGGTACTACACAATGAATCTCTCCTCACACCCCCTAACTGCATAACAATGTGCTACTAAATTAGGGATAATACAAGATGGCAGCAAGTCCAGGCTAGAGGGCTGATTATAGGATTAAGAGGTAAATCTAGCTCCATTTTTGGTGCTTTGGAGATGCAGGTTTGAATGTAATGTATTGCTGCTCATTCACTGGTCTTGCCTATTAATGTCAAACTCGTGGTACCTAGAGGTAACAAATAAAAATTTCAGTGCTCTCACTTTATTCCGTGGTTTGTCCTTTTTTGTTCTCAAATGCAGCAGCAGCGACTGCGCCACCATGCGCTTGTGAGGAGCCTTTTTTCATTCCGTGGCCCTGATGCAAGCATTCCCTTTCAAGTAGCAAGAAATAAAAAGAAAACAATTTCAAGCCCCTTTTCACTGGAGTATACTCAGATAGGGGCATGGGGTAGTTTAACAGTCATGTGGGCTTCCACTATACAATCCTTATCCCGTAAAGCCACACAAGTTTGAGTCCTCCTGGGCTTGCTTAGTTTTTTTGGTCTGTCTCTACCCGCCTCCTCTCTCCCCTCTTTTGAGGATGGATTTTTAAAGGCATGCCTTGCAGCAACTTTTCAGGAGAACGTCAGCGAGCGAGAAATGCGGCATGCAAGAATCTTCCCTGTCTCCTCTCCTAGGTAGGCGAGTTGTGATACTGCCAGTTTAAGCTTCCTGGCCTCACAGCTGCGCTTTTGTATGTTTGATGTGACGGTGAGCAAACCAAGAGACAGTTCTTCGGCAAAACAGGGAGCAGCAGGCGTGCCAGGTTCCAGCCAATGAGCACGTGTTATTTTGGACTGTGCGATACCATCGCCGAGCTTGAACAATTCCACAATGCGCATACAAAGCTCCGATAAGCTCTAACATTTTAAAGGAAATTCAGCACTTCCAGGGCCAAGCTGTCAGCCTCTGAAGTCTCAGGCACTTTGTTTACCAGCAGAAGAGGCATTCCCAAAACCAAGCACCCCTGCAATCCCAAGCCCCACAGTCACAAAGCACTGCTGTTGACCTGATGAGCCAGCAACGTTCCCAGAGTCACTTCCCAGCCTCATGAAACCACGGGCTCTCCCACCCGACACTCTGAAGGGAAGGTGCCAGCCACAATGGGGAGGGGGTTAGGTACAGAAGCTGTGTATGAGAAGAAATTAGACACCTTTCTCACATAGCCAGAGTTCAAAACCTACTGAGACTGTACCAAAACCCAGCAGATACTACAGGAGTATTCACACAGTAGAGCAGATCCCAAGTCTATTTAATGCAGTGCCAGAAACTAACTGGCAACGGAACAATCAGTAGAAAAAAGTCACTAATATTAACTGTACAGTAGCCTCTTGTTTAAGAAGAAATACAAAAGACAGTGCAATAACACCACAGACTGTGGAGCTGTGGACACAGACCAGGGCCCCCGCGACATCGGGTTGTGTGAGGGGGCACAACCTCAGCTCCGCTGAACGTGCCCAGGGTGCCTCAGCCACAGGTCGCACTAGGGCCACATCAGCCCTGAAGCACGGAGATAATTTCCGTTGATCTCAATAGCTTCCAAAACACGTTTTAAAGACAAGTGCCTGGTAACTCACCTGATATTCTAGAATGAGAGCCTTTGTTCCCTTTGACACCAGTATAAACCACGAGCTTTGGCATGGGCTGACTGCAACAGAGAAAAATCATGACAATTTCTATTCATCTGGTTATCTAACTGGACCTTAGGTTAAGCATTAGCCATATCCCTACCGTTAAATTTTTATTAGGGATGCCACAATCACAGCAAGCACAGACAAAGGTCAACAATGATATCCTTCTACTTTCAGGTGCTTTATATGGATGGAATATCAGGTGACCTACATTTCCAGATTAAATCCATGCTAAGCCTACACGCAGAAGGAAGGTCTGCATAGGGGTAAAGATGGTTTTTTGTCATTAGGAAGGTAACTGAAGAGACTGAATCCATCCACGCAAACGCTCTGCTGTTCTGAGGCATGCTCAAGCCTGCAGGTCATTTCTATGCTGCTGGTGAATCTGAGCCTCTTCTAATACTGTTTCTCTTATTTCTTCCGTGGATCTAGGGACTTCACTGTCACATGCATTTCACCGTTCACTCAACTGAAGTCACCGACAATGCTTCTGATTAGACTGACTACATCTAAGCCAAGCTTGAAGTCTACTGCTTATTTTTACTTATTCTCTGGTTATTTTATGACCAAGATGCTAGACATCAGGCCTTCTCATTTGCCTATTGCTGCATCAAACCAAGCCAAAATGAATCACAGCTGCCGCACTGCATAGGGCAGAAAGGGCAGGCAGTACCCGGCTGGCACTTCATTTATCTCCATCTGTATGACTTCCACAAGACCCAACATCTTACCAGTCAGGAAGAAAGCGAGCACGTATCTGCTTACATTTCATAAGGTGGAAATACAGTGAGAAATTTCACTTTGGATGAGGCACAAACACCAATATAAGCTTTGGATTCACAGGAGCCAATTGGCTCAAGTCAGACCACGAGACCCAATAAGCGTCATTTATTTCAAAGGCTCCAGAAATGTTAACTAGCTACAACTTCAAGAAACAGTACTCAGGTTTTGCTTACAGAATACAGACAGCTGTTCCTAGTCTCCCCCTCCACTGTGAAAATGGTTTATCCAAGCGTCTCACATCTATTGCATGCTAAAAAAGAATTAGGCACTGCCCTGAACTGTGCTGCTTTTCGGTCAATTTTCATTCTCCCTCCTCAATCCCTCCTCCTCCACATTTGCACTCTTGCTTTGCCAAAAGTCATTTCCATATCTGAAGGTAAATACACACGTTTGAAATATGTGAAAGGCCTCTGATCTCTAGTTTGCAGAGCTATGCTTTTCAATCTGTCAAGGAAGCGATCTGTGGACAAAAAGCATAGCACAAACTGAGAGGTACAGTTAACATGAAGCTTCTAAGCAGATCTCAGTCTGAGGGGGTAAAACTAGCTATAAGTGACAAGAAGCCCACAACTCATTTATAAGGGGAAAAACAAGGGGAAGTTCAGAGTGAGAAGCAAAGGAGCATCATTCAAGTCGACTTTTCTGCAGACTTGCATACTAACCAGATAGGCTGCAGTTTGGCAAAAACCAAAACATAGTATAAGCCCAGGTTTCTGCACAATATGCACTGTTCTTCGGTATTCCAGGAAGAATAGGGCACATTGTTTGCTTGCAAAAGGACTAGAAAAGAGCATTTACACCTGGGCCGTATGTGACCCATCAAGCCCAGAAGCTAACAGAAGAGGACTGACCATGGTCACTTGGCACAATTCACCTTGACGCTCTGCTCACACCAAACTAACAAACAAAACCAAGAAACTGCTCGCTGGCTCCCCAGAGTTCAGAAATTCTATTTCTTGGTGAAACTCCTGGGAAACGGCTCTTCCCCAGTCACACTGGCCAGCACAGAGCTGCAGGCTCGTACTCTGCACGTGCTCCTGACCAAGCCAGGTATTGCAGGGCTGCCCCGATGGATGTAAACTTTTTCCTTCCTCCGCTGTGGGAAGGAGGGTGACAACTACTACGGGTGAAATCAAATCAGGGCACCAACCTCCAGAAAGCATTTTAAACCGTCTTCCAAGTGGTACAGCAAACCTGCTTTTCAAAGTGCCTACTGCTAATTATGGTTACTACTTGCAGCAACACAGCGCAGATGGATGAAGCACTAGTTCAGAAACATTGAATTGGATTTGCTCCCTCTAAAGTTTGAAATACTGAAAAATGTGCTTTTTCTCCTCTAGACAGCAAGCGCTGGACACAAATAAGTTTGCCCCAGTTTTATCTTAGCAACAAAACCAGCCAGCTCACACTGTTTGTTTAAAGATATGTCAACCTCAGAAGAGTGAAAATCCTACCTCCCTTTACAAACGTTCAATTAAAGCATAGCAAATCATTATATTGTCTTTGCGCTGCTCCTTGCAGAGAAGCAACTTCTGAATACTCGGAGGTCACTAAACTGCTGAGGCCGAGAGCTCCAACTGCTGGACTACACGGCAGCCCCAGGAGCAGAGACCTGTCGGAAACAAGCAGACAGAGCACGTTCGTTAGCCACGGGCTTCCCCAACAGCTCACAGCAGATGCAGGAGCACCTCGCACGAGGATGGACTCTTCTCGTATTAGCTTATTATTTACGCTTAAGGACAGCTTCTGGCAACCTGGAAGCATTTTTGGTGACTAAATTAGAACATGGGTCTCTACACTGAATATGGGAGACTTTGGGATCTTCCTCCCCATCCCCCATTTTCTGGGGAGGAATTTCGCCTGAACACATCTTTGTACCTTTAATACGAAAGGCTACACCAAGAGTACACGTTCACAAGATATTTCACACAATTTTATTTATAAAATTGTAATTATTAACAAATTGCATATAAAATGATTTACTTCAAGTAAATACAGAGTACTGCACAACTATTAAAACTATTGTATTGTCCATCATAAATGTATTAAAACATTCCTAAAAAATGCATCTATTAAAAAACAAAAACCCAAGAACACAAGTAGCATGACCAAGACCACTTCCAATAGCTTAAAATGAATCACCAGGAAGTTGTATTAACTTCCCAAGTATGCTCCAGTTACATCCATTGAGACCAGCATGTGATACAATACCACAGTCTAATGCTAAAGATGACACGTATAAGTAATACATATGCACCTGATCTATGATTTTCTTCTAGACTGAAGATGACCAGTCTGAAATCAGACGACTAAAGCTCAAGTCAAACTCTACTGGCATGCAGTTCTGTTATAGTAATACTTCCAATCAGTAAGTGTAGTTGGCTTTTACAATCAATTTTACAACTCTCTTAAAAAAGAAAAAAAAGGAACACAAGAGAATACATTCGTATAAAAAGGAATGATGCACAAAAGGTAAATATCGACACCTTTCCTTACGCCTTAGGGTGATTCAAGGAGAGAGATCTGCTCAAAACGAATCTGGAACATACTTACCGAGAGGAGTCTGAGCCATAAAACCCAAACCCCAATCCTCCCAGAGCTCAAGGTAACATCAGAGCCATCCCTACTATGTACACAGAGCGAAGATGAACGTACGTACAGATGGAGCTTACTCTTCACAGATTCATACTGCAGAAATGAAAAGCGACAACTAGCAGTGCCGCACTGCTGAACACCTGCTTGGTGCCCGCTACCTATTTTTATGCAGTACGTTAAGTGTGAAAGATATTATTTTCCCCAAATGGCAAAACTAGGTGATTAACAGATCTAACTGAGGGAACAATACGAGCAGGGGCTTTTCGTTCTGTTTACTTTAAACAGTTTCATGACCAATGAGACTCAAGTACAGATATCAAAGTTTCAGTGAGAGAAACCAAGCAGGACGGGAGGAACTCGAACCTTCACAGCTCCCGACGTCTGCCGAGATCTAATACCCTCCCCTAGGTATTTGCAGAGTAGCCATCACGGTGCACCCAGGAGGTGCACGTGCACCAAGGAGGGAAATGGACTTTAAAATTCACTTGAGACTTTCTCTGGCAATCATCGTTAATCAAAAGCAATTTTACCCAGGGCACTTCTAAAGCAGTAAAAACGCGGGTTAACGTTCAGGACAGTAGCAGTTCTTAGCACCATGTTTAGTCCTGCCGCAAGCACCGGCAACCTCCCACAACTGGTAGGGAGCGCTAACGCTGACCCCACGTTTTCGAGCCCCATGCTTTTCCTAACGCTAAGTAGACAGCGAAGGAAAAAGGCAAGGGGGGGGTCCTGCTCCTAACCCAAGCTCCCCGGGAAAGCAGGGGTTTTACCTTCGGCAGGCGCCAGCTGTAAGTCGGCTAGGGAGACGCTAGATGGCAGGCGATTAAAGCGCTCCTGGCTCAGCCCCGCAGGGATGGAAAGCCCGAATGACCACCCCGATTAATTGCAATCTGCAAACACTCACATCGGACATCTTTCATATCAATATGAACACTGTGAGGGTGAAGAGCAGTCACGTGCAAGAATCATTTCACGTGCATGCTACTATTTACATTTCAAACACTATGTACACACCAGGACGACAGTTAGCCTCTCTCTCCAAGGCGAGAGAGGGCTTTGAGGAGAGAGCACGCAGCCTACAGCTTCAAGGGTCGCAATCCATGTGAGGCATTTTGAAGCAGAGATCTCTGCTGCTACTGAAACAGACACTTGCACACAGAAATTCAAGCATTTGCCCATTAGGCTGTCAAAAAGCAAACAAAAAAGGCTAACAGTAAGAAAGGCCTGTGAACACAGAGAGAATTTGGAAATTGGAGGAGCAAGGACCGTGGCGCTCTTCTGAAGGGCTCAGCGGGGGATTCAGAAACGGCTTTAGGAGCACAGCCGCCACTGAAGCCCTCAGCCCACCGGTCAGCAACATCGCCTCACGTACACACTGCCCAGCCAACACAGCTGCTTCCCGCTCCGCAACAGGCGAAAAGCCTGACAATGCATTTCTCAACAACTACTGCACTTGAAAGATGGTTAAACTGACCTCTACGCGTGTCTCTACCCTACCACCTCCTACGGCAGGCTAGGAGTCGCCCAGAAGTTACGGTGCCTGCTGAATCTTATTGCTTTAGAGATTAAGCCTGTACAGCCAGCAGCTCTAGCTGCAGCTCATCTGAAGTTTTCACAAAGTTTTCTGGAAGAAAGCGTGTTTGCATTCGGTAGGCTCTGGGGGTAACGCATCAACTTCCAGGGCCTCCCACAAGTTTTCCAAACGGGACACCTAAGCTGCTGAGTAGATGGGCATTTCTAAGAGCACATTACCCAGCCTGTAGACAAAAATGTGGGGTTCAAACATGCAATATAGGCAGCTAATCCCGAACATTTAATATGCATCTATCACAAACAATTGTGAAAAATGAGAAAAATAAGAGCGTCTTTGCAGGGGGAGGGGGATATTAGCATCTGCAGCAATGAAAACAAGCTCTAGAAAAATAAGTCCTTATTTAGTGGTTTTTATAAGGCCAGTCATTCCGGGACTCAGCAGAAATGTTGCATATTTGTGTGTGCACCTGCAAGTAGCGAGAACAAGACTTCCTCACCCCCGAGAGGATTTACCTTCCTATCAGCCTGAGCCTGCCAATAGCATTTCCAGCGGACTGGAACCAGAGAGCAGCGTGACAAGACAAAAGGCCGACACAGCACAACTGCAGAAATTCAAGTAGAAAAACAGAAGCTATCTTCAGAAGCCCACAGCAGCATTCAAGATCAGTGGCAACAAGGAACGTTTCTGTAGCATAGGCTTTTTTTTTTTTTCCTCTCCAATTCAAAGTGCTGGGTCAGAAACAAGGCTTTTGGGTGGAGGGGCTACTTCCTGAACCCTGGTTTCCTGACATCTCCCCATACCATTTTATAAGACAGCAGCATCAGTGCTGCCGATCCTGGTCTGTCCTGCTGCTACCAGAAAAAAAACACGTGCACCCCTTGGCAGGGCAAGGGGCGAAAACAAACACCGGTAACTCCTCAAGCTGAGGAGTGGCTAAGAAAAACATAACACTGCGGTAAGGTGGAACCAACTTTATTAAGGACAGAGAGTTATAATTGCTTTCAAAGGCTTAAAAAAAAAAAAAAAAGAAAAGAAAAGAAAAAAAAGCCCTCTGAATCACGGCTGGCCTTTAACAGCAGATACCAAAGGATATGGAGGCCGCTGCTTCAGAGTCAGGCAGTGGGAGTTAACCAGAGGAGGATGAGGTAACGCTCAAAGCCAAGAGGGTGACGGGATTATCTGTGGCGTCCGTGGGACACTGGCATGCCGACCACCAGCCTTCAGAGGGGAAATACATGGCCGACTAGAGCGCAGAAAGGCAAAACGTGGACAGGTATATAGACTCGCATGTTTACAAGTCAACGTATTCATCTCCTGCTCCACATACTTCATCCTAGGAAGCTCACTCCACAAAGATGTTAAACTTCTAACAAAAGGGTGCTGCGCACCCTTTATCCCTGCTCGACCAAAGCAGGAGCCGGCAGCTCACAGCTTTCAGGACTGGGTCAACAGATACTGAGAAGGGTCCTACAATAAGCAAAATTTATACAAAGTGCAATAAAACTACCCAAGCCACGGTCAGGTGTGTATGTGCGTTATTTGTGAAGAAGAACGGATCACAGACTAAGCTGGATGGAGTCTGATCTAGTCTTCTTCCACTATTTGTGCTTTATTCCAAATTCTACTGCCTTTTGTCTGACTCAAAAGCAACTGTGTCTTGGTTGATCCTGGTCCAAACATCTGGTTTAAAACTTTTATTCCACTGCTTCAAGCTTTTAGTTGCATTCAGAGCAACAAAGGGAGACACATGCTTAGCAAGGATTTTTTTTACTGAAGGTAAGCATTTACTCTGGCAAAAGCTGTTCTCTCCAACTTCCAAGGGAACGGGATATGCTCTTTCCATAATCACATGCATTTACTAATAAATAGGTTTGGATTAGACTGTTATTAAAACAGATGCACAAATTTAATGCACTGGAGTGTCACAGATTCTTACTCCACAGCTCATGCAAGTATAAAGAATTAAAGGAAAAAAAAAAAAAAACAAAAAGATCAAAGCCTCAGCTAGGAACAGACCAAGGAAATACCTTTAAAGTTGTTTTGCACAAGTATATCAAAGCACTAATGTTAGTGAGATCCCCAAATACATTAGGTTACACTAAATTCCAGAGAAACCAAAGATTTAGCCATATCAGATACATATGCTTTGTTTTCGTTAAGTTAATATATAGTTCATTCTTTGAATAACATTACTCACTTGGACCCAACATCCACACTGCTTTCATACATTTTATACAGTTATATCCCATTTTTGCCTTTAGAGGCTGATGCCCTAAGGTATGGCAGCAACCAAAGGCTCTGCAACCCTCGTTTGTCAAATATAAAACTCCTTTCCCTTCATACAAGGGCAGCGAAAGGAAGAAAGATGTTGATAAAATTAGGCAATTCTCCCTGTGAGTTTGCCGATTCCAACCTCAAAGTACTAGAGAGATGGTTGGAAGCTTGTGTAAAAAAAAGTTTCCCCTTGTTTTAAAAACAATTTCATTTACTGTACAACAGATGCATAGAAAGTTGCTTCCTGCTTAACGGGTTTAGGCCAGTAGCTATCTTTAGCTGTGAAAACAAGATTGTTCCTTTACAGAGCAGTGAAGAAAGAGACCATCTCAGGAATATTTGGCAGCTATCAAGGAGCTCATGACACAAAGAATAAACAGCATATCCACAAACTACAATGCAACTCTGTCCCACTGAATACACCAATTTTAAGAAGTGTCCACTTGTTACTCAGGATCAAGAATACAGTAGAGATTCACGGCTCAACAGCTTTGAAAGTGGTGGTTTAAAATAAAAAAAAAAAAAAAGTCGTCAGTGAGCAGCAGATTTTAAAGACAGCCCACTCTTCTCTCCCCGACCCCCACCAAAGAAATACACGTTCACTGCAATATCAGGAACTTAAGACTTGGGAGAGAAGGCTTCCCTGTCACCCATGTCCATACAGCTTGGTGTCGGAGCGACACACTGGAGGTTTCAGAGGGTTTCGGTTGTCCAGTGTCTTGTTGTGGTTATTTCAGCAGTTTTACCAGCTGGCTCTGACAGCCTCAATGTCACTAACCAAATTCTGGGCTAAGCATATCCCAAATATCTGGAAGAGACAACAGTTTATTCATTTGGAGCATTGGACAAAGGCCTTCTTATATAGCCAGACTCCTTAGGTTATACAGAACTTTGATATAAGAAACAGTAAAAGGAAGTTAAGAAAATAAATTAGCAATAAGCATTAGCAAAAGAAAGAGTACAAAAATTCTCCTGTAACCCAGGTAGTTTTATAACGGCACTGGGTTCCAGGACACTGAATAGTTTTAGAATTGTTTTGCAAAAGCAACCATAGAGGCTTTTTGCTGCTCATTTATCCCCCCGCCCTCCCCTCTCCCACCCCGAGAAATAGCAGCTCTGTACAGCCTAAAAATCTCTACCCAGCCCTAATTTAAACACAGAGCCCAATTTTTGACCTGCGGACAGTTGAAAAAGCATCCTCTGCAGATAAAATGAGATACCCTTTAGAACAAGCATCACACATTTAGCTCACCTCATTAAACCTACTGACTTTGTATTTTTAAAGCTAAATTGACACCAAGTTTCCAAGTCTCATAGTCCCGCCCCACCACCCACGGGTTTTATCTATCTGTTATTCACCTGTGTAACTCATTTACGGGGAAAGCGAGGTTTACCTGCAGTAACGCTATCCCAATGAATATACCAGCAACTATGGTAAGATTGTCCTGCAGCCACTTCTCAAACTGTGGGACGCAGCCTTTAGTGTAGATAACAATCTGCTGATCAACTTCCTGCCAAGGACAAGAGGGAAGAAAAAGATCATTACATTCAACTATTCCACCAGTAGAATAACTTGCTCTTGCAAAAGGGATTCAGATCCGTAAGATATCACATTAAAAGAAACGCTTACTGGTTTTTGCCTTGCGTCGTAGCCACACTGAGTGTTAATAACATCTTCCTAGGAGAGAGAGAGAGAGAGAGAGAAAAAGATGGAAGTGAGCAAAGAGAAATGTCTCCAAAACATCCTCTCCCAGTTCTCCAGGGCTGGGCTTGTGGGTTGTAAGACAACCGCCCCAACGTTGGTCACCATTTCACTTTTTAGGAAACCCTCCCTCTTCCATTCAGCGCCATTGATTACTTGCAGCAAACGAAAGCACATGCTCAAAAAACATTCTCAGCTCTCAGGGCAGCACACCAAGAAACGCAGCTCTCCACGAGGGTAAACGCCACATTCCAGAGGCAAATAGCAGGAAGTCGGAAAAGGGACTAGGGAACATCTATTTTGAGCAAAACAACTTTCTGCTGAAGAGGTTTTGTCTGAAGATGTATATGCCAAGACTGTCGCTAACATTTACCAAGCGTTCGGTCTGCGCAGCACGAAGAGGTGAGAAAGGGCAGTTCTGCTGCGAAACCTGCAAGTTCTTCCAGAGGATGAACGTAGGAATATCTACGGTACCTAGTTTCCTCCCAAAGACAAGAGGGGGAAAAAGAGATGGGGATATGTTTTCCTACTGCCTATTCTTTCCTTCAGCAG